TTGGGAATCTGCTGGCAAACTTTGAAGTACGTTCTCCATATACTAAAATTCCTGTAGGCTAGGCGAATCAGGGTTTAGAGGCTACAAGTAAATTAAAAATAAGTAATGCAGTCGATTTTCATAGCAAATATAACTTTGCTTCATCGACAATCCCACCAAAGAATGTGATATAGGTAAAATGCTTGGACTTCTTTAAAATGCATATTTGCCATGTGACCAAAGGGCACTCATTGCAATGTGGCGTAGTGTTTGACGTGTCGAGATTACACACTGACCTTCATGGTTCGAGTTCCACTGGTGGTGCTCATAAGACTTAGGCGAGGTCAAACGTAAGGTCCACCCTGGATGTGAACACCTTGTGTGAAAGCAAGGCCATGATAAATTCAATGGAAGCGTAAGGTCTACTTATAACATTGCGGAAAAATTCAACTGTCATTGCTTCATCACCTTAAACGGAGTAGGCTGATCATATAGAATTAACATTAGATCAGTAATATGAGATCTATTCACCCGAGGATTTCTTTGCATTATTTTAAAGTCTTCATTCTTCGGTTTTCATTGAGACCAATTCACGAATTCAATCCAACCAACAGTTCCTTCGAAATGAAAAGTAATATCACAATTACTCACTAAGAAATTCTTCGAAGCACTATTTTTCTTCATATCTTATTCACTTTGTTAAAAACTTTTTTTCTCAACTTTGTCCATGGTTGAGTGGTACAAAGAACACAATTATCTGCATGTATGCTTACGCTATATGACAAGCTAATTTGATTTAAAGAACAATGCCATCATTTGTCTCTCTACTCCCTTACACCTCTTTATCTCTATTTTTGGACTTTACATGCATATTCAGGTATCACAGACAATTTATTGAGGCTGCTAACGACTACTTTCTTTCCGATCTTGGCTTCAAGCGGAGCATCCACAACAATATGGCCGACTTCTTCCTTGGTAAATGGGCTGGCAGAAAGAAGCCCTTTCGGTTACCAGCCTATCTTGTCGAGAAACTTGTAAGTATGCATGAATTCTCGTTAACATTCAACGAAGCGGAATAATATGTTGTTCTTTGGCAAGATTCTGGATACACCATTTTCCTTTATGGCAATTAGATCTTAGCACATTGTGAGTGAGTGATGCTTGATTGGTATCCATGGGTGAAGATTTAAATACTGAAGTTTTTGGCGCCCTCTACAACGTCTCAGAGGAGCTGTATTTAAATATTGTTGTTGACAAGACAGGCAATGATAATGTAAAGCAAGTCTTGGGATAGGTTTGCTAACTCTAGATACTTAGAGTCTTTTGGGATATATTGAACAGCGAATTACAGTGTAAAATTAGGCATTAGTTACGCCTCACATATTCCATCCCTTATATTAGCAGCTCTTATGGAGAAAAAATGACTATAGTTCTCTACGTTAAAGCAACATATCAGTTGCATAATCCATTGAAAATACAAGTGAAAAGAATGACCAATAGTCCTCTTTGTTCAAGTAAAATGGGCATCTGACATTGATTTCCTGCATCAACAAACTCATTCACAGAATTATTATGAAGATGAGTGTAATATAATATTGGTAGATGAAGAATTTTCCCACAATTATATGACTTGAGCTGACATTTCCATTGAATTTAACATAGCCTTGCTTTCCCAAAAGTTGTTCTCATTCAGACAGAAGTGAACTGCTGAAGGTGTTGATAAGACTGATGCGAGGTCGAAACTGCAGTCCACCGGTGCCTGGATGAGGACAACTTTTGGGAAATTCAATGGAAGCGTCAGCTCAACCCATATCATTGTGGGAAAATTCTTCTTCTATCACCTTAAACGAAATTGGGTGAATACAACTCATATTACTGATTTACTAGTAGTCACGAAAACAATACTTAATTCGAAAAATAATATAATATTGTTATGATAGGTAATTTAGTGTAACATTGAACTCGTTATTCCAATTAAAAAGGCTGTTGGAAAGAATGTACCGCTTGGCGTCCCCGGAAGCCGAAGGACGACTGTCTTTGGAGGGTTGACTGTCAATTTGTGAGAATAAGTCATCCGTCTATCGTGCTAGTGCCTCGAATTATCCGAACTGAGCATGAAACCATGCTTTAAAAAAATGCCCTAGGCACTAAGGCAAGAGCATCTAAACATAAATTCAAATATAAAATATAAAAGATACTCTTAGTATTGATGGTAGCAGGGCTCCCTGATGACGGCAATAAACCATCTGAAAGCATACAAAGTCCACAGTTCAGCAGTTGAGGCTAATATGATTACTATGCCAAAGGACGCCGGACAAGATATAATACCGATTGGCTGCCATTCAATTTGATACAGTCCCGAGAAGCTGTTCGCCTTCAGGTGAGGGCAGTATTCTAAGTAAATTTGTCCACAAATGCATGCACATTGCCAAAAGTTTGTCCACAGTTTACCTCTGAAAGAGACGAAGAGTGATAAATCGCAAAATGTCACTTTTGCCGGTGTTATATCATATTGTCACTGTATTCTCTTGACAGCTTGCTGTTCCTATTGTCTTTCTTCCCACAATTTTGCACTAAACTGTACATCTAAATTATGGGAACCGACATACTGGGGCCATTGAAGAAGCTGCCCGAGAGCTCGGCAGAAGATAGATCAGCCCCTAGACAGCCATTCATCTTCGACACTTCTCAGCCAAACTCCCAGCCAAATCCACAGGGTGCAACTCTGCAGACCTTATTCCCTTTCGGTTTGCTCGCCAGAGGTCGGTTTAACCTTCGCAAGATCAACGAGCTACCATGGCATTT